GTACTCATAATCATATCATTCTATAACACTTATATACTCATAATCATATCATTCTATAACACTTATGTACTCATAGTCATATCATTTTATAACACTTATGTACTCATAATCATATCATTCTATAACACTTATGTACTCATAGTCATATCATTTTATAACACTTATGTACTCATAATCATATCATTCTATAACACTTATCTACTTATAATCATATCATTTTATAATACTTATGTGCTCATAATCATATCATTCTATGACATTTACGTACTCATAATCATATCATTCTACGACACGTATCATGTATTATTCTACAATACGTGTTTCTCATTCCTATTATTTTGCAATACGTATATCACGTGGTCGTAGCACAACACGTATTTAGTTCGTGATCGTATTATTATACAATATATATCATTTAAAATCATATCAATCTACAACATGTATGTATCAATCTTGTGATCGTATCATTCTACAACACATATCATATAATATTCTACGACATGTGTTTTTTTAATTGTATTATTCTGTAATATTTATTTTGTAATTACATTATTCCATTTAAATCCGATCAACAATACATTTATTTCATAATATTTTATATATGATCTTGTAATATTTGTATTTTCTTAATTTAAAAGTAAAAAAAAAAAGAATAATTAATTTTAGAAAAATAATACCTTTCTTATGAGCCCATTCATGTTGTGCAACACCAATTATGATCGGTACTCGTGCATTATTACTAATTAATTCAGCACCAGATTGTGGTATTAATTCATCATCAACAATCATTTTCGATACTCCTAGCTTGATATTATATCAAAATGTTGTCAAAAATTGGAATAAACTTTTTTTTTCGTTGTTTTTTGTCATTTTAATTAATTACATAAGAAAGATATTAATTAAATACAAGAAAGAGTTTTTTTAAAAAAAAAAGTAATTAATAAAAATTTTAGTATAATAATTATTTTTGTATACAATTTACAAGCAATACCTCAGTAGCAAGTGCATAACGAAATGAAAATGATGAAAGATTGAGTTCATTTCGAAAACATTCAACCAATTCGATACTATTCATTCCTTCGCTATTCTAAATATTTGTAATTTAGAGAAATAAAAGAAGAAGAGAAAAAAAACGATATTATTTTATTTTATAAAATTATGTTAATAAAAAAAAAAATAATAATTTCATCAATCTGTTTTTTTCCTTTTGAAAAATTACAACCAAGGAGATGATTAATTAATTAATAATTATCATTTTATTTGTAACTAATAATTTAAAAGAAATTTAATGTAACAAATTATCGGAATTAATTACACAATTGTTTTTGATTCATTCTTGATGGAAAATTTTATTTTAAATTAACTTACACCTAAACATTCCGGTATTTGTTCTTGCATATTACATTCCTCACTGATAATTGGTAATCCGGATGCTTTTAACAATGGCTGTATTTTTTGTTTATCTAATTCTTTTTGACAATTAATATATGATACAATATTATTAACACTCCATGCCGGTTGACCAAAACGATGTATTGCCCAACCAGCAGTTGAAGAACCGGATAACATGATTGCTCGATGTAATAAACCTGAAAATGATAACCGGATTAAACACATAAATTATTTGCTTAATTTTAAACAAACCTTAAAAATGACTATTGTACATTTTTAAAAACTATGCTAATATCATTAATTATTTGATAATGAACAACTGTTAATTTTAAGCAATACTTATCAATCACCTAATGATAACATATTATTAAATTAAAAGTTAAAAATAAATGAAAATGTTTGTAAGCAGAACAAAAAGAAAAAGTTCAATAATATTAAACTCAATTTTTTTTTAAAAAAAATTTCTACAAAAATTAAAAATTAGCATGTAAATGGAAAATGGTTTTGTAAATTTAATCATTTGAAGTCTCTTAAACGTATTTACATTATCGCTTAAATTATCAATTTAATTTAACAATATTATCACTAGTGATGCCTTTATCATTGATAATAATCAATTTGATTAAAATTAATCATATTTCTTCGCTAATTTTTTCTTTTTTTTTTATTGAAATGATTCATTTCAATTTACAAAAATTTCATGATATCTTATTGAAAAATTGCCGTAAAATCTAAGCATTTGAAAATATATTAATTATAAAAATAAAATAAATTATCAGTAATATTTTAACCTTTAGTTTTCGGTGATACTGCAAGTACAGAAGCAGCAGCTGCACCAGCACTTTCACCCATAACTGTAACCTTTGTTGGGTCACCGTTTAATTGTTTAACATTTGTTTGAATCCATTCCAGTGCCATTACCAAATCCCAAATACCAAAATTACCTTCTATATGATCGTTATTCTTATAATTCATGAATCCTATAGTAAGAAAAAAAATATAATTACAATTAATTATTAGTTAATTATTAGTTAATTACAACAACAATATGTTGAGGAATTATGCATTTTCTAACTTAATATATATACATATGTATGTAACAATTTGATTAATTAAATCTTTGCTTCCACTTATTATTAATTAAATCACTGTTAATTAATGAAAAAATTTTTGTAAACTTTAAATAAAAAGCATACCCAAAAGTCCGAGTCGATAGTTAAGTGTTATCAATGCAACACCATTTGATGTGAAATGTTTAGTGATTACTTCCATATCAATACCGGTATCACCGGAACCGGCTAAAAATGATCCACCATGAATCCATACAATAACTGGATGCAATTTTGATTCTTCTTCCGGATCCTATAAAGTGACACAACTTTATTTTTCCACTTTTTTTTCTTTCTCTCTCTCTCTCTCTCTCTCTCTGATTATAAGCAGTAGAGAATTTTTCTTTTTTTTTTGTCGAATAAAATAGCATTAATTAATTGGTCAATTAATTACAATAGCTTATTAGAGAAGTAAAGCAAGCGAAATTTAAATAATTTAAACTTCAATTTCCAACAAATAAGTTATTTTTCTGAAACATTCCCAAATGTATAGCCATTAATTTCCAATAATTTTTTTTCTCAACAATTTCTGATCATTGATTTTTTGATTTTTGATTTTTTAATTATTGATGCTAAAATTTTTCAATAATATCTTTAATCAAAGAAAATTTTATAATTGAAATTTCAAAAAAAAAAAACAAAAACAAAAAAGTGCAATAAAAATCTTACATATGGTGTGAAAACATTAAGAAATAAACAATCTTCACTTTCATTTTGCATATTTGAACCAGCAAATTTATCATTTTTATGAAATTCCATAAATTGTAAACATGGTGCACCATAATCGAGTGCTGCATATTCCTGATGCCATCGTGCTCGTTTTACCGGACGCTGAAAAAAAACAAAATTGGATTCAGGAATTATTCCGATTAATGATGACAAAATAAAAGAGAAAAAAAAAGTAAATGAAAAAATAAATTAAAATTAAATTATTTCATTAATTAATTCGTATTATTTTTATCAAAAAAATTGCAAAAGTAAACAAGAATTTTCTAATGTAATGCTTAATGCTTAAATGCTTAATCATTTTTTAGATGCTATCTGTCAGACATATCAGTATATCAGTTATATCAGTTTACTATTTGCCTCTCTTTTTTTTCCCCTCTCTCTCTTTTACTTTTTAAAAATGAAAATTTCTACGAAATAAACAAATTGTTGAGATTAAATATTTCAATTAGTTAAATTTATATCACAAAAATAAATTATTGGTTAGAGCAAAAAAAAAATTGTCAATAGACTTTAATGTAATTAAACAAAATTATTTTCACTTTATTTTTTCGAAATTAAAAAAAAAAATTAAATTATCAAATTAACCTTCAAAAAAATCCAATTAATTTGCGAAAAATGCAAATGAATTCCATTTTTAAATTAATGAAAAAGCGCTAATGGAATGGATGAGAAAGAAAATTTCTCATTTGCTTTAATTATAATTAATTATAATATGAATGATATGAGGAGAAAGTAACGAAAAAGAATGGAAGAAAGAGAAAAAAAAAAAAAAGAAAAGGAAAGTATAACCTTAAATCGTAATTGACCAATGGGTGCTTCAGCATACGGTATACCACGAAATATTTGAACATAATTATCAGCTAATTTGTAAATTTTACCAAGTAATAAACCTTGTTCAACCCATACTGATCGTGATTTTGCTAAATTTTGTCCCACAATACCATCCGGTAGTAATATTGTAATAAGTAATAAAGGTATACCAAATAAT